GGTGTGTTCCTCCATGGCATCCGGTGCCACCGTAGCTATTGTGTCGCCCTTGGTCTCGATGTGTTCCTCCGTGGCATCCGTGACCACCGCAGTTGCTTTGTCGCCCTTGGTCTTGGTGCGTTCCTCCATGGCATCCGTGGCCATGCCTGCATTACCACCTGCAGAGTCCCCTCTTTGGGTCTCACCTACGACTGCCCCCCCTGTCTCTGCTTCAGCCACTTCACCACCCCTGACTTCATCCCCCCCCGTCTTCACCACCTATATTTCCCCTGGTTTTATCGCCGTCTATTACCCACCTTCAGACAACTCTACCACCCCTGTCTTCACCACTCCTACCTCCCCTGGTTTTGTCTCCATCTGTTACCCCTCTTCCTAATCCACAAACCACTTCGTCCACACGGACTCCGTCATCATGTGCTGCCCTGCAGAAAGCCTACTTCGCCGTCCTAGATGCCGACTTCGACCTACTTCCCAACCTCAGCTTACTCCCCTTTCCTCCATCTCTGTTCTTGGACGAAGAAGAACTCGTTCATTCTCCCCACCACGGCCCTCCCCAACATCCCGTCCTCGTCTTTTGTCGCCCCAAGCATCCTTACCACGCCTGCAGCGCTCTTCGATTGCAGACCTTTCTGCAACGCGGCAAACACAAAACAGGAGGGATGATGGCGAGGGGCTATTCGAGGATGAACTTGGCAAGGGGACTGTAGGAGATTATGCAGAAAATCCGCTGAACTGGCCTCCACCGAATATGTGTGGTCTCGCTGCTACTAACATCTGCCTGCAAGCCTATCGTCGGGAACCATATACTCACTCTGATTTCGTGGCCATTGCTTCCGATCTTGATGCTCAGGAATGTGAGTTATATGGCGATAACCCGACTCTGCATCCCCACAGGATAGTAATTACACTCGACATGGGGGATTCAATGTCTCTGTTTTGGAGACTGCTTTGATTAGGCGCCGACTTGATATGCAGCGTGCCCCTTCGGGTGGCGACCTGGACCACTGTTCGCACGCTTGTGCCTATATTCTACATACTCCTGGCCACTATACCACTCTTGTCCGTGCCTCTGGTACTTGGGAATTATGGAATGGCGGTGCTATGGTGCAAACTATTAATGCCATCTGTGATCTCGTGCGTAATTACCCTAACCTGCAACTGTTCCAGGTCATTGACCCTATGGGTACCTCGTGTACTTCCATGGCCGCCTCTACGCCTATCTCTGTGCCCGCCTCCGTACCTGTCTCTGTGCCTGTTTCTGTGTCCGTCTCCTTCCAGATTACTAACTTTGTGGGTACTACGTGTACTTCCGTCCCCGCCTCTGCACCTGTCTCTGTGTCTGCCTCCACACCTGTCTCCATGCCCGTTTCTGTGTGTGTCTCCGTGCCTACCTCCATGTCTGTCACCGTGGCTTTAGTCTTCATTCCCCCACATGCTGCACTGACACCTTGTGACCTCCTTTGTGAGATCACTGACATAGTTACACTTGGTTGTGGAAAGCATCGACTTTGTCAACATCACTACAACCGTATAATTTTTCGGGCCCGCTGTCGGTAGGGATGCCACATGTATCCGGATTGTGAACATCCTCTCCATCCAGATGCAGTATGTCCCATCTGTGCCTGCGGGCGCTATAGTGAATGTGCACGTAACTGTGATGGTGAACGCCCCACAATCGTCATGGCCTGCAATCGGCATGCCCTCTGTCGTGCATGCTTCAGAGGTATGGTTAATGCTAGCCGCCCTGGCTCCTGCTGTGATGAAGTTGCTTACCTGAATGGTTTTCGTCCTGTAGATCATCGGGAGGCCTGCTACCATCGCCCGCATCCTTATGACAGTTGTCCTATCTGTCATGAGGGTCTTACTTAGATGTACCTTGCACCTTGACAAAAATGTGCAGGTGCGTTGAAAAGAGTGTACAAGAATGTGCAAAGGTGGGGAATCCTTCACTAAAACTGCAAAACTGTGAAGAATGCAGTAAAAGAAGAACATAAGTTTGTGTCATCTTACTTTGTTTGTACCCTGCACCCTAACACCCTCAAAAGAAAAGTCCGGAGGGTGAAAATGAAGATGAGAAATGAAGAAGTGCAGGTGCGCTGAAAAGCGAACGTGGTAGACTCTTCACCAAAACTGCAAAATCGTGAAAGAAAGAAGAATGTAGTGAAAGAAAGAAGATGTTTGGGTCACTTTTTTTTGTTTTTTTTCCCTCTGCCTATCGGTTTTCCTTTTCTGCTCCTCTCTTCCTTGTGTTTAACACCTCTTTCTTCACTCTGCCTCTTCCCCATAGCGTGCAAGTGGGCTGTTATGGCATACGGGGATGGGGGCAGCTCGCGCTCAACTTCATCAATGTGGCGAGCCTTGTACGTTAGAGGCATAGTGGAGGAGGCGTTAAGAAGACTGAGAAACTGAATGATTTCAATGTGTCTTTGTTTTTGATTTTTATCCTTTGATTCAGTGAATTTGTTTTTTGTAAAACATTGAAAGAAGTAATAATACTGTGAAACAAAGAATAAGAGGACACTGTTTTGTGTCATTCTGGTTTGCCTATCTCTTTGCCTGTCTGTCCTTTCATTTTTCTTTTCTTCGCTCATCTTATTTCTTCTTCTACTTCACGTGCTTACGCTCTTAGTCATTAGCTCTGTGACAAAATGTATTTGACGATATATGCCAGCGGCATGTCTGGAGTGTATTTTTTGGCTGTGACAGACCTTTCTTTGTTTCGTGGGTGTTTTGCTGGCTTGTGATGGGGTGTGAACCGACAGTCTGTAGAGTTTTCCAT